TGTGCATGGGGTCGCTATGAGTCAGTTCTGACTCTGGCACCTGATAACAACAACATCATGATGATATTTATGGGTCCAGTGGTGAAGATTTTTTTTTTTTTTTTACATTGAAGTGCAATCCCTGTAGTCTTTGATCTTCTTCAGTAAATATTTTGAGTCCTCTTCACTTTAAGCAAGTGAGGTTGCATCATCTGCATATTGCTGGTTGTTAATGAGTCTACCTCCAATCCTGAGGCCACATTCTTTTTCATATAATACAGTTTCTCAGATTGTTTGTTCAGAATATACATTCAATAAGTATGATGAAAGGATACAACCCTGGCATACACCTTTCCTGATTTTAAACCATTCAGCATCCTCTTGTTCTAGTATAATAACTGCAAAATGATGTATTTTCACAATAAAAAGCTTAAAGAAAAGAAAAATGTTCCAAAGCAATTAAATGGTAGGAGGATGGTCTTTCCAACAAATGGTTGAGCCATTTACATATATATGTGCAAAATGATTCATATTGATCCTTACCTCACATTATACACAAAAATAAAGTCTCAATGGATCACAGTCTTCAATATAAGATGGAAAAGTTTAAAACCTTTAAAAGAAAATGCAGGATTAAAATTTTCATGAGTGAAAATTTTCATGAGACAGAGTTCTTATAGACAATACCAAAAAGCAAATCCATAAAAGCAAATAATAATAATAATACATAAAAAGATAAATTGGACTAATCAAAACCGACATTTTTTATGCTTTAAAATACACCATTAGGAAAATAAACACTCAGAGAGAAAATATATCTGGTAAGAGGCTCCCTCCTGGTGCAGTGATTAAAGAGCTTGGCTACTAAACAAAAGGTCTGCAGTTTGAACTCACTTGGTGTTCCTTGGGAAAAAGATGGGGCAGTCTGCTTCTGTAAAGATTTATAGCAGTGGAAACCTTATGGGGCAGTTCTACTCGGTCCTATTGGTCTCTATTAGTGGGAGTCACTTTGACGGCAGTGGGTTGTCTGATAAGGGTCTAGTATCAGAACTAAATACAGCAACGAAAAACAAGAGTAATCCAAAACATATATTAAAAAAAAAAAAAAAATACTCTTACAACTCAACAAACAATAGAAAAAAGTATCCAGTCTTAGCAATGGGTTAAAAAAAGAGATTTGCACAGACATTTCTTCAAAGAAGAAATACAAATAGCCAATAAATACACGACAAGATGCTCAACATCATCAACGGTTAGGTAAATTCAAGTTAAAAATCAAAATGAGATACCACATCATACCTCACAGAATGGCCATCATTTAAAAATAGTAAAAGGGAAAATAACAAATGTTAACAAAGATGTGGTAGAGTTGACATTCTCATGCATGGCCAGTGGGGATATAAAATGGTGTCTCCCCACTGGGAAAGTTTGGTAAACTATAGAGTTACCAAACATCAAGTCGGCACCAACTCATAGGGACCTTATGCACAGCAGAATGAAACAATGTCTGATCCTAGGCCAACCTCACTACTGTTGCCATACATGAGTCCATCGACACTGCCACCTGGCCAATCCATCTCATTGGGGGTCTTCCTCTTTTTTTCTGACTGTCCATCTTACCCAGCATGACATCCTTTTCCAGCAACTGTTCCCTCCTGACAATATCTCCAAACTATGAGAGACGAAGTTTGGCCATCTTGGCCTCTAAGGAGCACTCTGGCTGCACTTCTTCCAAAACAGATCTATTGGTTCTTCTGGCAGCCATTGGCACTTTTAGTATTCTGCTCCAACACCATAATTTAAAGGCATCAATTCTTCTACAGTCTTCCTTATTCACTGTCCAGCTTTCACATCCATATGAGGTTATTGAAAATACCATGACTTGGGTCAGGCGCACCTTAGTCCTCAAGCTGACATCTTTGCTCTTCAACACTTAAAAAAGTTCCTA